CTAGGTTTCTTGCAGGGGTGGTTCTGGGGGGTTTGTGAGGGGTTGTTTTGAGGTGAAGGAAGATGTATCGTATCTTTCGTACGGATGAGAAGGTTGCCAAGGTTGGGGGGTTGTCGGAGAGCGATTAAAGGGGGCTGAGGGAAGCACTTCATCATCTTCATCATCATCATCATCATCATCGTCATCGTCGTCGTCGTCGTCGTCGTTGTCGTCGTCATAGTTGTCGCCGAAAAGCAAGAGCAGAATAAAAAGTCTAATAGAGCTTAATGCTTATATAACAAAACATTTCTGTTCCCATCCAACCACCCTTTCCTTTTCTCCTCCCTCCCCTCTCCTTCCTTCCTCACCTCCATCATCCTCTCATAGTCGTCAGCGCTGACATAGATCGTCTTCTCAATGATTCGCCCACTCTTGGTGCGTATCTTGGTCTTGATGGCCTTCATGGGTTCCCCGCTCTGCCAGGATTCTATTGTCTGGCCCTCCTCCAGGGGTAGGTATTTTTTTATGATCTCGTTAGGATCCTTGCCTGTCGATAGAGCACACGGCGGGAGTGAATGAAACAACTACCCAATTTTGGAATGGTATGTGGAGGCATAGATAACAGATTCAGTCATTCAATCAACCAACCCAATCAATCAATTAATCAATCAATCAACCTAATAAATCAATCAATTGATCGATTGATCAACTAATCAATCAATCAACCAATGTATTTAATTAATCAATCAATCAATCAACCAATGGTATTTGCTAGATTCTTTTATATTGGGGTTTCAACAGAAAGCAGTGGCGATAATAATACTAATGTCTTTGTTTTGATAGTGAAGTCAGCATAGCCAATATATTTGGAACAAACTATGATATGCTTTTTTTTAAAGGAACATTGGTACAAAAACTAAATCCATGAAACAAGAAAAAGGATTTCCCTAAGATAATTCAATGAAATATTTTTGCTGAAAACTTTGTCCGTGGGGTGATCTTGGAAAGAGACAAGACTGGAGATCGTGTCAGTGATTATTTGGAGAACCGCGGACGAGAAGAACGGCATAGATAGATAGATAGATAGATAGATAGATAGATAGATAGATAGATAGATAGATA